ATCCTTCATATAAGCTCATCGTTTGTCAGTAACATCAGGTGGATCTCGATAAACCCTTCAACTATTTATAAGAGCTGTTACGCGTGTCAGTGTTGCCATTACATATTTATTTTCAAAATAGAGATTGGAACAGAATTGGCACCTTCTTCGATGAAAAACATAAATACGAGTTGTGTTCTAATTAGATTGGAATTTGAAAACGATGACCAAAACCTGTAGTTGTACGTTCAAAATGTTTATTAAAGAGGAACAGTCACCTTCATCAAGAAAATACATCTAATTGATTTTGAATGATATCTTATTTGAAATAACTTAAGACTCGCCTCATTAATAATGAATGGTATCATATCAGGCTCACCTAATTTATTTTGAATGATATCATATTTAAAATGACTTTAGACTCAACTAATTCATTTTGAATATCATATTTGAAATGACTTTAGACACCTAATTTATTTTGAATGACATCATATTTGAAATGACTTTAGACTCACCTAATTAATTTTGAATGATATCATATTATTTGAAATGACTTTAGTTAGACTCACCTAAATAATTTTGAATGATATCACATCAGGCTCGCCTAATCTATATTTTTAATATCATATTTGAAATGACTTTATGCTCACCTAATTTATCTTGAATGATACCATATTTGAAAGACTTGCGATTCGCCTAATTTATTTTTAATCATATAATATTTGAAATGACTTTCGACTCGTGTAATTATCGAACGTCCAAGCATTCAGTCGCTATGAGTATGGCATTGTGAACGAATCTTCGTTAAACTCTTGGAATACCACAAAAAGTTTTGCATGGATCGTAAATAGTAACTTTAATCGCGACAAATTAACTTTTTACCGACTATCGAACATTTCCCACACGATAATGCCTCATTAAGTATATGGAATTTCACGCGCTTGAATTTAGATTTTATGAACAGAGGAGTATAAAACATTACTGGCCTCTGTAAGTTTGTATGGTTTTTTTTTTTAAAGTTAATAAATAAAAAAAGAAAGCTATATAACTGTACTTTATTTACTACAAGTTCAATGAAAACCATCATAAATATGAAGAAGTCACCTTTTTGCTTACACAATACTCAGTATTGTCTAACGTTTATTTTAGTGTATAAATTATATGTAATTAGTATATAATGTTAATTTACCTATGTTAAAGTGTATAAAGTATATTTACTACTGTTGTGACTATTATATCAAAGACTATTACAGAAGATGTAAATAACGTACACGTGTAGCACACGACTAATATATTAACACCAGTTATAAACAGTGCAGGTTTCAATTAGCATTTTCTTGTATTTAGCAGTTTATATTTAACTATCTGCCATTAATTAGAAGTTTGTCAGAATAGCTTCAAATCTGAAATTGTAAAATGATTTTTAGTCGCAATTCCAGAACATCTTAGTCACAAGTCTGAGTCAATCCACAATTCCAAGACACAACTTAGTCTTAAAGGTAATATTATAATACTGGTAATAAATGTTTTTGTAATCGTTTACATATATTTAGTTACTTTTGTTCAGCGCGAATATGCATTTTATTTTATAGAAAAGGTGTCTGTACATAAAATGAAAAAAATAACAAAAAAAAACCCAACAAAACCCTCATAAAAAGATGTGCGCCAAACATCAGAGTGAAAGTACTAAGTATACGAAAACAGTACACATTGGATTACTTAGAATAAAATAACATACATCATCTTTAAAATGAAAGTGAATGGATTGTTTGTTTACTATAGGTATGTGTACATATGTACGTCTCGACCTATAATGTAAATATATGTAAAATACTTAACATTAGTTCTAATAAATCCCTGAGTCGTTCTTTGAGCTGGCCATCTTAAACTTTAAACAAATTGATTGAAGGGGTGAAGATATGGGATTATGGATTAAGATTATGGTATTAACGGCACGAGACCAAGTGTCCAGAATACCTCTTGTCTAGACATCTTATGATAATATTGTTATTGTTTATAGCTTTATATTGTACTTACATGTAGCTCTTTATTTAGATTTACTTACATCATTGTGTTTACAAATGTTTTATAAATAATTTATTTATAATATTATTGGATTATAATGTGTAGGATATTGTTGTTTATCACCTTTGGTGTCGCGATTGGGATTACTACATTTTCTTTTGTAGTGTCCTTTTTTTTAGATTCTGTTAGATGTATTAGCTGCAGATGTTTGGTTGTACTAAGTTTTATTTGAAGATAACAAAATCTCGTTTTATCTTTACTGTATGCAGAACAACGTTTTGTCATATATTATATTCAATAAATTAGATAAATTTGTTGCAGTGGCGGTTGGTTTTATTTGGAGATTTTAACATCTCGTTTAGTCTCCACTGTATGCAGGAAAACGTTTAGTCGTGTTGTGTTATAATCAATAAATTCATGTTTTACAATATTAATTTCTCCAATTTGCCTAATTGTAGTCTGTGAAACAAAATTCACATAAATTATGAATCAAGACAGTAATGTTTGCCGTGACATAGAACAATGTCAGATTGAGGGGTCAAGGAGTTAATTGAAATTAAGACCTGTTCATGACTTTGATGTATGGGTGTTTTGGCAATCTATAGCAAGAATCTCTTGTCCATCGACCTATTGTCTTTCTCTATTCTACAAATATCATCATATATTAATTACATAAGCGACGTAATCAACAAACAAATATGACCGACCACAGGTCTAGAGCAGCAACAGTATGCACGAGTTATTAAATACAGTTTTATTACCCATTGTAAATTTATACGTTGCTATGACATCGAGTAAGATCTTCCTTCGTGTAATTAAATGATGATCAATACCACTCATATCTAAACTGCAAACACGTCATCGTCTTTTTAATTAAATTTTAATCATTGAATTATTGCATCGTTAATAGCAAAATTAAACAATTCTACATAGATCGCGTAACTAATCCATGTGAATTTTCAAAGCAATGTCGTTAGGAGTATTTTCAGTCGGTGCCCTCTGAAGATATCGGCGGAAAAATAAAACAGACGAAAAAGATACATTTATTCAAATTTATAAGACGTTTTTGAGGATAAATGTTGAATGAAATTATTTTGGATTTGCTTGGAGTTTTGTCGTGTAAATCTTTTTATAAGATATACCACATTTATTCAAATTTATAAGACGTTATTTGAGGATAAATGTTGAATGAAATTATTTTGGATTTGCTTGGATTTTTGTCGTGTAAATCGTTTTGTAAGGTCCATGATAAAACCAAACTAGTCCAAACGCAAGTTTATCAAAACAATTAAACGCCGTGAAGATACGCGAATGTTGAACACGAGATTGGATAAGAATTTGATACGAGGTCGAGATAAGAATTATGTCACGAGAATTGCCTGTTAATTAAACTAAAACACCAATCGCTGATGACGTTTAGTTTAGTCTACGTTATAACGAGACCCCTGGGTCTTTCATATATATCATCGCTCTTATGTACTACCCTCGTCTAAGAAAACAATTTTTGGCAAATAAAACAAGTCTATACCTTAGAACCAAGATCTTATTTCAATTAAATATTTTATTTAGCCCATTTCAATAATTACTAAACTTTATTTATGTTATTCAACTTGCTTTTGGAAGACATAACTCAATATCAACACCATATGTCATCCATGTAGGAAAAACTATACGCTATGCGAATTGATCAAAAGAGAAAAGAAGTAGGTATAGAAAGAAAATAGGCATGCTCTGGCTCGTGAACGACATTCATTAGAAAAGCCTCGAGTATTAGTGTCTGAAAATTTCAGCATTGACAAGAGAACCGACTCAATGCAATGCCAACAGACCATTTGCGACTGAAAACGTGGTAAATAAAAATGTTTGACGACTGCCTTTATCTCAAAATTTGAAAAACATGTACTAGGAATATTGCATAAATCGTACAGCATTAATCGTACATTGTTCCCTGTCTTACAGTACAGTATCCTACGAACGGTCGCTTGTTTTCCAGATAACAGCTGGAATCCGCAGGTAGTTGTGGACAAAGGGACGTAACTCATCCCGATATGTTCTGGAGTATTAATGAGTGACACGCCTTCAAGTAACTTGAATATAAAAATTAAACACATTTATTGTTAATTTGTAAAAAAAAGAATCTAAAAAAAAGCATGTTCTATTAACTGTACCTTCGTTTTAAATACACATTAATCTTAGAGTAAAGTTGTTTTAGTTTTCAAATTATTTATCACATGTGTAAAAAATAATAGGCCTACTTACATTTTTAAAATAAGGAATTTTTAATTGTAAAATAAAAATATTTTTATTTCAAACATATAAAATGTAGGCTACACACCTGGGGTTATCAAAGATAATATTATAAAATATAATACTGATCAACAGTAATTCAAATTCAAATTTACGTATTTGGTTCTTTGAGTTTTCTTATTATTATTTTTTTATTTACAAAAAATTGAATGATGTATACAATATAGGCCTACATAAATATATATGTTAAGTATGTGATTACATCTCAAATATGTTGAGATGCTTCATTATATAAGTAAAGGGTTCTTTAGAAGTAAAATTGACAGAGTTAAAGTCTTTATCATCGCTCAAAACTATCATTAAGACAGATGGGTGATTGAAAATATAAGATAGATTATGTAGGTAGTGCCTTGAGCTATAGACTACACGTCTTCTACAAACTATTAAACGCTCCATAGCACATCAATGGAGTTATCATTTCCTATTGTATTCTAAGACGAAAATTTCGACTCCTATTCTCTTTAAGCTGTAATGTTTTCATATTTCGTCAAGCTCATATATTATAGGGAATTATTACACCTGCTGTAGTAGAATGTTTGCATTGCCTAGCCATAGCACGCGTTGTTTTCTATTCGCGCTTTTGAAATAGACATTGGAAAATGCAGAAGAATTGATCACGTGACCATATACTGTAGTAAAATAGCGAGAACCCATTCAACCGGCATCAGTCAGTCATTTGAAACGAGCGTAGCATCTGTCCTCCCGCGAATCGCGTATAGTAGTAACCAATAGAGGGCGCTGTGTCCATGACGTCATCAGGCGGTGAATACAACGTTAACTTCAAGCAGACAGTATTCTACTATTGTATCGGCCTATGAGTTAAGAACAGTAACAGGACTTTCAGTGGCTTCGTTCACGGATTATTTTGTTGTTATACTATGGATACGTATTAATGTATTATATATAATCATAAGGACATCTAGGCTGTAATATTTAACAGTGGATATAACATAATATAAAACGGTAAGTTAGATTTAATGTCATTTTTAAAACGCGATGTTTACTCTCTGCTCATTGGCAACATGGCTGTGTGCATTCGACAACTGGAGACGAAATATGTCAGACACAATGGAGCTCTTGTATAAAATGTCTGAAGTTTAAAAGTCTAGTACATGAGTTTTACCATAGCAGATGTCACCCATCTGTGTTTATCAAACTAAAAATACGAACAAAACATTTTATTGCCATATATTTAGTTAGTATATACGTATGGTAAACTCACCTTATTATCAAAGAAAATACAAAAAAAGCTGCAATAAATAATGATATAAAACTTCCACAGACAATAATTAACTTAGCATATTAATTATAAATTTTAATACCAATGCAGGCTGTTGATAAACAATTAATTATGTATTAAGCGCGTAATAATTAATTTTAATTTATAAATTATTATGAAAGCGCGCTGTCAATATCGATTTTTAACAAATGTTATTCTAATTAAAACTAATAATTAAATATGCTTTGTCATTATTACGATTTTTTTATTTTAAATGTCATTATCAAATTTTTTTAAAACATGACATTATTTTGATTTTTAAAAACGGGTCTAAAATTAAATTTTATAATATTTTTTTTCTGATATTATCAGTAAATACTAAACTATATAAAATAATTGATTAAAAGTGTTTATTGTAATTTGAATGGTTGTTTACATCACGTCAGAAACAAGGCTATATATAACACAGTCAACATTATTTACTATGTCAATATACACTGCAATGTACAAATATACATCCATTACATATAATTTGTAAACTACAACACTTTTGTGTATCGACAGTAGCGCTAGAAAAGGGATTAATCTCAAATTAAAGCAAACACTACTTTTCTTGGAGTTTCTGTTTGTGGGGTGGGGTGGGGGTAAATTGCATGAAAGACAAAATGCATTTAAGATGTGAAGTTGACCTAAGGTCGCCAGGATGCGGTTAACCGCATTGTGAGGGACATATACATATGTGATCTACATTCTTTTATTGACTACAACTCTGCCGGCCTGTGGTCTTTTGTTATTGACTTTATCAGTGGGTAAGTAGTTTGCTGATAAAGGGCCAGAATTCAGGGTAGTATTAACGTGGGAACTGACCATCCAGATAGTTAAATCGTGTAGGTCAACCTGCATCTCATCTTTCCACTGACTTTACCAATTTTCCTCTTAAATGCACCTATTAAGTAAGATAGCCAGAGCTACAACCACCATAACATTACGACAAGCTGTCAGCTTTCTGACACATCCTGTAAATTCGGTGTAAATTATGGTACGGAAATGTATAACCTCATGTCCTTTGTACAATTCCATAAATCTTTAAAAGCATTATGGTCAAGACTTCCGCATGTCCACGTTTTTTTTTCTTACTCTCAAAGGGAATTAAATTTTCGAAACACATCGAGTTGTCTCTTTCTGAATACCAAAACGGTGTTCAAGCGGTTCCAAACGGGTATAATTTTTTTTTAAAGCAACAAGGTCTTAAAAGTTAAGCTCTTTCGCATAATCTTCATTGGGACATTTTAACATGCTCTTACGAAGTACAAATATATTTTATACGGCTTTTTTATGAAGATTCTTATCCTCTCTTCTCAAGTTCATCTTTTCATACCCCTTTCACTAACTGGCGATAGATTTCATTATGGGGTGAAAATGGCAGGACTTAGTTAAGCGAAATTACTAACACAGACGTGAAAACCCTCTTTTAGTAGATTGTGTTGAATGTCAACATTGGTTGATACGCCTATAGTCCTTTTAATTAGACTTGAGCTTAAAGTGTGTAAGCTTGAACCCCATATAATTGTGACCACGTCAGTTTTTGTTTGACACTGGGATTTTCGCGCAATAATAAGATGAGTTTTTTTTACCAACCACAGAATCGCGTTCCTATACATGCTTAGATTCCGTTTTAAAAGGGATGTACAATTAAATTAAAACTAATACCCCCATTATAACTAGGAAGGAATGAACTAGGGGTTTAGCGTCCTACTTTTCTGCAACCACATATAGGATATTAAACGTATTTTAAAACTCATGGTCATAAAAGGTTACGATCCCTATATCCCAACAACTGATTTTAATTAATGTGAAGACAACATGTGTATATCCATCGAGATCATGAACCCGGTGACCTGCCTTCAATTATTTGTTTGTCTATATACTAGTAGGTCCAAACAGAGAACAATAAAAAGTACATCATAAATTCTTCAGCTCGTACTAGCATCCCTGACAATCTGACATGTATATTACAATGTTGTCCTCAACTTTTAAACTCTTGTCAAATCTGGCAAAAAAACAATTTACTGACTAAAATATTTTATTTTGCTCTAAATTGTTTGGGGGTTTTTAATTTCAGATGGTTAATTGTGGTTGTCGCATTATTATTTAAATATATGTAACGCTGCAAACTTTTAATTTTGGATTAACCTCTTACTTGAATTAATCTTATAGATATGAAATGATGTTTCGTGTTAATTTCAAATATGACTCAAGATCAATATATAAATGGTGTAGTGTATCATATTCTGGTAACGTTTAATATATTCGTGGCCGAGTGGGTAAGACGAAAAACCGAGGCCCTGTGTACACATTGGAGTGCACATAAAAGTTCCTTGGCAGTTGGAATTCGATATAAGAGTAGGCCATAGTGTCGCTGTCCGGGCAAAATTTCCATCATAGCACATTGTATGGCTCATGCCCGTCTTCATTATCCCAGTCGGAGCAGAACAGTAGGACGTTAAACCCCTTTTCATTTTTAATTTATTCTAGTAAATAACCAATTAGCAAAAGGCGTGCAGCAGCATTCTTAAAAGTCATAAAATTTCATTACAATGCAATATCATGGCCCCCACTGCATTTTCCACAGCTTCAATTTTCACCCGAAATCTAAACATGAAAAAGTCACGTTTGTAATGAACTGTCGGGAACGTGTCGTGTGAACAAACTGAAGAGTAAAAATAACAACAGTTACCCCTGTCCAACCCCAATGTCATATGATATTTTGTGTTAATGCTCCCTTTGTGGCGGTCTCGTGACAAGAGTGGACATCCACTTCCAGTCCTATTGAACACTTCAGTTACGTTAAGTTCTTATAAATATCACGTGGTCCCGGGTGTTATTAATGGAATATTAGCCGCATTACGCATCTAATATTATTGAGATTTGTACCTGGTTTCAGCTCTTTAATTTGCGTGGAATTCATAAAGAGATCATAACGGGGGGAAATAAATCTTTTGTTATATCAAGTCGAAAAGTCGTCATTAAGCTAATGAACCAAACCAATCTGTCAAACTTACGACATGTAGGTGACGGATTTTCAAGGATTTGAATATTGGGATCATCAGCCATGTCAGTCGGGGTCTTTGAAGTTCAATTTGGCGTGTTTCATTAGGTCCCGGCGAGTTGTATTTTGCTGCTGTATCATTCTTTTCATTAGGAAAGTTTCAAGTGGTAGATGAGGGCTCTTATGTTCAGCACATTTCCACCAAGTCTTACGTCTAATGATCACTGGCTTCCAGTCACGCTAAAATGAAAACAGTGTTTCGTTTGACCTATTTATCTTCCACCTAAACGCGAACCCGACACCTACGATAGCATCTTTCTTTCGATGGTTAAAAACATTGCAACTCTTGAACCATACAACTTCATACTATTTAAAATCTAAAATTTTACTATAGACCACCCTCTATTTTTTTACTACTTAATGTTTTATAATATATGTTCACTGTAGCGTTAATGATGAGGTACGTTGGTGCTTCTTTCATAAGTTAGTGTTCTTCACAATTATTCCAGTCCAGGAAATTTCAAAATCGCAACTTGAACCAGTATGTCACAATAAACCTGAATACAACCTCTCTTGTGGATGCTGGTTCTTCTTGTCATGATTATAAGGCGGTAGCCTGGCTTCCAAGTATATCGTCATTGAAATGATTATAGCGCTCCTCCCCAAGATATCCAAATAACAACTAGTTTTCCGTATGATTTAATCGGTATTGCTTAGTCTGTACTTATCCATACAGACCTTGGAGGTCCATTGTCCCTCCAAACACCCTCAAGGCTTGTAGCTGAAGCAATGTTGGATTCGTTGGGTTGTCAGTCATTGCGACCTGTGTTGTTGTCTTGGTAAATTGAGGTCGAGAAGACCCTTAGTTGGACGGACCCCCCTATCATTTATCAGTCAATCAAATTAGTTTGTTTGATATAGAAATTTCTGTTGAGCTATCAGTCATATCTTTATCAACAACTTCAAGTACCTGCACACATGTTACAATGCCTTTCGTTTAAAGGCTGTCAAACTCTTGATGTCTTAAGACGATATGATTTTCGTTTCTAAACAATGATTAAACCTACAATATAACCGCCTTTTGACCCCCAGCACAACTAAATACATTAAGATTGTGTTGCTATAACATTCATAACTTTCAAATGGAGATGGGTGCATTCTTAATTAAGGTACATGTACATAGCTTTATATTATCCCAATTAGTCTGTCTAATTTTAGTTTAGTGTCTATGACTAGATAGTTCTCGGTATTATTGCAGAACAGTACATCAATTTAAAACGTTGTGCTAAATGGAAATTGTATCGTGTCAGTAGAATAGTTAAAATAAACATGTCTATTTGGTCATTACCCAGGTTTAGAATGTTTTAGGTTGTTCCCTAAATTCAGAATGTTAAATCTATTGACATTACCCAGATAATCGAATTGTATCCACAATACAATTGATTACTATGCCGGCTACTTCAGAGTCCGCGGCTTCTTCAAAGACTCTCCGAAAACTTCCAGTTCGCCTTTAAAACAAATACTGGAGGTAGTACTGTTGGCGGACAAAGCGTTTGTGGTGTTTATTTTACCAATTGCAACCCTTTTGACACCCATCTGAATATTTTACAGTGTTTTCATGACGATTTCCCACTGATCGCTGTACACATACGGCGGCATGTTATAAAAACTTGATTGCAAACTATTGTTACAACT